ACTCCTTCTTTCTTGTGTTTTCATTTGTTTTGTATTTGAAACAGGGTTTCACTATTTAGTCCTACATGCTCTGGAACTTAATATGTATGCTAGGCTGGCTTCAAACCTAGAGGATTCACTTGTCTGTGCCTTCCAAGTGCTGGAATTAAAGGTGCATGCTACCACATCAGTTTACCTTAGGTTTTTTTTTTGGGAAAGGGATGGGCAAAGTAATATGTTGATGGTAGGCTGGAATGTATCTGAGAGATAGAGGGTTTGTCCCTGTGCACAGGACCCTGAATTTGATTTCCTAGCCTCATGGGGATGAGGGTTGGTAGTAGAACTGGATGTGGTAGTTAACATCTGTAGTGCTGTATGCCAGACTGAAACAGGAGGATTGCTGGTTAGAAATCAGCCTAGACTATGAACATCACCCTGATATTATGTATTACCATTGGAAGGAGATAGTACTTCATCTCTATCTAGAAGACAGCAGACAAAAGACATTTTGAGAATGTTATTTGTAGAGATGGCTTATTGAAAAAAAAGATGTTTCAACTCCTCCTGTTCTTTTCTCATCTAGAAGTGAGCAGAATCATGCCACATTGTTTATTCTTTCCTTTTATTAACAATAAATACTTATTTTGATAAAGGGGAATATGTATGTTGGCATTTCTGTACATTTTACTTTCCTTGAGGATTAAAAGCAGTAATGAGTGATCCTGCCCTTGTGGACCTCCATCTAAAGCTTGTAGCTGTTTCCTGCTTTCCCCCTTTTTTTACAAGTGTTTGGGCATTTATGACATGGACCTGTATGTTTGTTGTCATGTTTTTCTTTTTCTTTTTTTTTTTTTTCTATATCAACAACTGTCACTCCTGCTCTTGGAGCTTTGGCCTTTACTTTAGTTTAGGTGGCAAGCCTGCCTGAACATACACAAGGAAGGAATCCTTTGTTTCTGGTCTCTGACTGGGTTCTGCTCTTGGGATGATTGGATTTCTGCAGCCTGGTTGAATCTTTCAAAGCTCACAGCTCCCTAAGGTGGTCTGGTTTTTGAGGCTTTATCATATATTTTATTGCAGTGACTGGTGGAATGCTGGAATGCTATGTTTTCGACCTATGGGTTGTGATCCCTTGGGGGGGCCGTCAAATCACCTTTTTCACAGATCACCTAACACCATCAGAAAATAAAGATACCTATATTGCAGTTCATAACAGCAGCAAAATTGCAGTTATGAAGTAGCTGGTTTTATGGTTGGGGTTCATCAAAGCATGAGGAACTGTATTAAAGGGTCATCGTATTAGGAAGGTTGAGAGCCACTGCTTAACTTGAGACTTTCTTACAGCCAGTCTGTGCTTTGCAGTAGAGCCTTGATTAACTTCAATCCACATTGAATGTCCATTTACCAAGAAACTGACTGATGAAGTATACTTTACACTCTGTTATTGGTGGTCATGATGGCAATTCTAAAATGAGTTAGCACTAGAGGGAAGAAAAATAGCTCAAAGCTTTATGAACTTCTTTGTTGGCTAGTATCAGTTCATTTTTTCTAGATTTTATTTTTGATTCTTCCCTTTTGAGTCATTGTGTTTATTGAAAACTTATGGCTCAACTTATAAGCATTTTAAAGGTTAAGAAGTATTTCATGAGGCACATACTTAAGAGCAAATCTAACGTGACAGTTTGTACTGAGCAGTTTGCGTTCAGCAGAGGTTGAATATTGAAGGCCACTTAGATTCTGTCTACAGCAGCAGGACTAAAGGTGGACCTAATTTCTTGCATTCCTGATAAGACTTTCCCTTATTAGCTGATGCTTATCTAATCACCCACCACTGAAGATTTCTCAAAGATTGCACAACTAACACTAATACTCTTAGTACATAATTAATATAGTCTTATAGTAGTACTATAGTACATACTTCATTGTCAGGTGTGTTAACTCATGGAACATGCCAATATCCATAGTAAGGAAGTTCCATTATTATTTACATTTTACATAAGAAGACATATCAGACAGTAAGAGTTGGCTAAGTTAGTTCAGACTCACAGCCAAGTTAACACATAATTAGTATGGTTGTCCACTTCCTTTCCACAAAGATCATCAGAACTGATCTCATTATGTGTTGAGTCCTTACAAATGATAGCTTCTAGGGACCATTATTATTCCTTAGTACTACTTCTAGCCCACACCCCATGTTCCTCATGTTAACAGATGTTACTGCTTCATGTGTCTTCTTGTCACACAATAACTCCTTACGCTTTTCTTGCTGTCTCTGAACTCCCACCAGTGTCCACAGGGGTCATTCACACAGCCTTTGAGTCCTCCACCTTGTCTCCAGTAGTCCTGCATTCCATGTTATATTTCCATCGATAACTCTATCACCTCCCAGATTAGGAATTTAAGGATTTTGCTGTGTGGACACCCCCCGCATCCTTTATTCCCAGTCTTTTTCTACAGTAATTATTAGAACCTTTATTCTACTGAACACTTCATCTTCCTCTTTTTCTTGGCCTAGCTTAGAGTCTATGGTCTTCTACCCCAGCCCCTTTGTACTTAGCCAAAATCAACACTGTGCTTATTGTGTTCTTAAACCAGTGTACTGAGGCCGCTTTCCCCTGCAGTCACCAGCACACAGCACTTCCTGCAGTTGTAATCGGCTCTCTGTTTCTTCTCTTCCCTAGAGGGGAAAAAAAAATCTTTTTTTTTCAGTTTATTTTTATTAAAACAGAACAAACAGAAAAGACACTGCTATCAGCGATGGCTTATAGAGAGAGTTTTAATATAGTAATGAGGAAAAGATTGAATTTTCAGGACCAGAATATGAGGGTAAATCACCAGGAAGCAAAGTGGGGAGTTTTTTGATGTGTTGGGAAAGCTTAGTGACACGTTTTCTGACTAAATTTGACAAATACTTGTTTCTTTACTGGTAGAAAGAGTACCACATAGACGATGTGACATCACATGCCAGTAGCACAGTAGAGGTCATTTTACATATGTCACCTGCGAGACAGATTGAGGTCAGAGGACAACTTTCAGGAGCTTTCTGAAGAAAGAAACTTTCTGAAGAAAGAACTTTCACAGGCTTTAAAGACTGTGGTTTTAGGGATTGATTTAGGCTGGCCCCAGGCATTTTTACTGGTGGGCTGGGCCGCTCTCCTTGATCTTTGGTGATTTCTCTCCACCAGCATAATTGTCTTGAAGTTTCTCTATCACCACATTGTTCCTTTTATTTGCTGTCTACTATTCTGCTTACGCTATTGCTATTTTGTTTTTTGAGATGGGGTTTCTTAGTGTAGCCCTGTCTGTCCTGGAACTCACTCTGTAGACCAGGCTAGCCTTGAACTCAGATTTACCTGCTTCTGCCTCCCTAGTGCTGAGATTAAAGGTGTGCACACACCCCTTCCCTTCCCCCAGTGATTTTTGCAGGTTGTTTATCTTTTACCTCTTATGTCACCTCTTGTACAAGATTTATTCTTTCCAATTTGGACTTTTCAGTGAAGCTGCTGTGAAGAACTGTGAATGTGCTTTCTTATTTCGGGGGCAGATACCTCCAAAAATGGCCTTATCGTAGGGTAGCTCTACTGCCTTCTATAGGTGTTGGCATCATTTTACATTTGGGAGAGTTTCAGTTGCTTAGCATAACAAGTATAGTCAGCAACTTCCTGAGCCTGGAGAGATGGCTCAGAATTCAAGAACTGCTCTTCTGAGGAACTTGAGTTCAAGTTCTAGCAACTACATTGTGGCTCACAACCATCTGTAATGAGATCTGGTGCCCAGTTTTACATTTTTTTTGAAATTATGTGTCTGTATCCTGTGAGTGTTTCTGCCATTGGATCTCGGTGGCATGTGGTGTTACACAACTTACTTGCAGTGTGACCATCTTTGGTGAAGTGATTGTTTAGAGCACCCACGTTGTGTGTTGGTTTTTTTTTAAATTTATAGTTTTGTTTGTTTTGTTTTGTTTTTTTCACCAAACAGGGTGTTTCTGTGTAGCCTTGACTGTCCTGGAACTCGTGTTGATCAGGAAGACTTCAAACTCACGGAAATCTACCTGCCTTTGCCTCACAAGTGCTGGGATTAAAGGCGTGTGCCACTATTGCCCTGCCCTCTGGATTTGTTTGTTTGTTTGTTTGTTTACTATTTTTGTATGCAGTGTTCTGTCTGCAGGCCAGAGGGCACCAGATCTCATTACTTGACTCAGGTGATTACAGATCTCACCTGACTTGAACTCAGGTCCCTCGGAAGAGCAGCTCTTAAATTCTGAGCCATCTCTCCAGGCTCAGGTTTTATTCTCAGCAGTTGTATTCTTAGTTTCTTACATTCTGGATTTGAGGACTTTCATAGCTCTTTAACATTGTATTACTTGGTTCTTGTCTTTTTTTTCCTTTTTAAGTTTTTTCAAAAACAATTTTACATTTTTTTGAAACCAACTTTATGATTTTTCTCTTTTATAGTTCTTTTTTGTGTCTTATTTGAGTAATGACTCATTTCATTTTTATTCAAAAGAGTTAAATGTCTCATACTCTCATCTGGTTAAGAAAAGCATGGACTCCAGTTATAAGGCTGAAATTGTTCTGTTTGTATTTATATTGTTGTTATACTTTATTAGCAGACTGTTCAGGATTTTGGTAATTGTATGGTTTTTTTTTTTTGGTTGGTTTTTAGCTTGCTAAAAGACCCCTAAAATTGCTGTTGATGAAGTTACTGTTTTATGGGTAAAGGAACCAAGGTTCCCATAGATTATTTGACTGTTGTGGTTGACAGCTAGTGATCATGCAGAGACCAGAAGAGCCCCAGTGCTCTCAGATCCAATTCACTGCTTGTTTCCCTAGGAAATTCTCTTCATAGGCTGTTTCTGAAATTTCACTGTCCTGCAGCATATGCAAGTGAGTTAAGATTGCAGGGAATATCCTCATGGAAAGCAGCATTGTTAGAAGCTTTCTAAAAGAAGCAGAATTTTCCCTTTAAATTTTATTAAATGAAGAGACTGGATTTCATACTTTTTTTCCTTCTTTCCTAAGGTCTGTAAACAGATTTGGCTAGGATTATTTGATGATAGATCTTCAGCAATTCCAGACTTCAGGGATCCACAAAAAGTGAAAGAGTTTCTACAAGAGAAATACGAAAAGAAAAGGTGGTGAGTAAATTGTTAAAACCTTCCAGACTACAAGTATGGGTGAGATATGATTGACTCTGTTAAGATAGACAGGTGGAACAGAAGGAGTTAATTGATGGTTGGTGGGTATAGCCTCATTACTTTTTGACGTTTTATTAGATATGGTTTCCAGAAACCTTTGCTTGTACTTTTATCTCCGTGTATCTATGTCTAGTACCAAACAGCCTTTCATTACCATGTCAAGACTTCTGCCAAGGAAAGCCCATGATCTCTACTAATTTCTTCAGATGTTTATCCTGTAATGCTTCTTTCCTTACAATCTTTATTTTTTAGTGTTTATTGGGTAGAATTTTCAGGCACTATTAACACAACTCTTGTGTAGTAGTAGTCTGTCCAGTTTGCTGGAAGTCTTTGCTCTAAATATCTCTTCCCACCCAAGAAATTAGCTTGCTGGTTGGGCAAGAAGGGAATTTTTTACTCCCTCTAAACTACACTAAAAGTATGAGTTGTAACTATAGAGCTAATACTCAGTATTCGGGGCTCCTCGTCTTTAGCTTCATAAGATAACTAAGTACAGTACTGACTGATTCATTGTGATCTCTTTTTAGTAAGTACCTAACAGTACATATTTCTTCTTGAGGGACTAAGAAGGGGAGAGAGTTGAGGATCAAAGGATAATTGGGAAGCAGAAGGCTTCTTGTTTCCCTGAGGAAGAGTATTTTGACCCAAGGAGTGATGTAGTCAAAGGTAGTATTGGTGGGGGAGAGTTTCCTGTGGCTTATGAAACAGATGACTGTGAGCAGTAAGCACATTTGCTCTGAGTTACACTTCTGTGTACGCTGTATTTCTTGACCTTGTCGTACAAGTTTAGATTAACTAGGACTAGATTTACTAGAACTGGATGCATTAGGTATGACAAGGTAGAAATATACCAGTAAAATTTTAGTTCAGAAAGAAGATATTAGAAGGTCCCAAGGGTGATAGTTAAATATGGTACACAAATGATTTTTTTCTATTTTAGTTTTTCAAGACAGGGTTTCTCTGTGTAACAGCCCTGGCTGTCCTGGAACTTACAGAGATCCTCCTGCCTTTTTCTCCTAAGGCATGTGCTGCTACTAAGCCCAGCTAAACAGTTTGTTTATTTATGTAATTTTATTTAAACCCCCATTTATGTAATTTTACTTAACTCCCCCTCTCCCCTTTTCTTGTAGACAGGGTTTCTCTGTAGCCAGCCTGAGTGTCCTGGAATCCACTCTGTAGATCAGGCTGGCCTTGAACTGAAAGAGAACAAAAAAAAAAATTTTTTTTAAACAAAAGCCATCATCTTTTTATCGTTCTTGTTCTTTAGTTTCTAGGTTTTCCAGCCTATAGAAAAAACTGTTCTCCTTGAGTAGTTCCACCTTGGCTGTTTTGCAACAGTGCTCATTTTCAGCAGTTCAGAAAGTCAGTTAGGAGTTAGCTAGCTGCAATTTTAGTGACCTTAGTTTTACCTGCAAAGAGAAGCAGAACTGTGAGAAAGAAGTTTTTTCTTCAAGCCACAGTCTAAAATCCTGAAAATCTCAAATAATAGTTTGTATTAAATTTTTCCCCTTTTCTAAGAAACACAGTAGTCATAAGTAAGACTATTATAGATAAAAGCTTTCTGAAAGTGATGGGTTGGTCTGGGCAGTGGTGGTGCATGCATTCAATCCCAGCACTTGGGAGGCAGAAGCAAGTGGGTCTCTGTGAGTCTGAGGCCAGCCTGGTCTACAGAGTGTATTTAGGACAGCCAGGGCTACACAAAAGAAAAGACTAGAAAAGTGATGATTGTAGTGGTGTTGGCCATTATCCTCATGAACCAGAATCTGTGCCCAGCGGCCACTGAGGCAGCTTCCCTAAGAACGTTTGTTGTAGGAAGCAGCGCAGCAGGGATAAAGTTGTATGAAGTTTTGGGATGTTTCTTTTCACTTAGATATACGTTCTTCAAGTGGGCCCAATCATTGTATTCATAAGCTATTACTTGCCATATTTTGTGATCAGAGTTGTCCATACCCAAGAGTTCATATTTTCAGTGCAGTGCCACGTTACTGAAAAGCATAAGAGAGTGTTTCATTATTAGATCATATCCTGTATTTACCTGATACAGCTAGTTTAATTGTTTGTGATTGTTTTATGGTTGAATAATAGCTAATACATTGGCAGCTAGTTCTGACCACACTCCAAATGTGTTTAATCCCCACAGCAGCTTTATATGTGAAAAAATGGAAGCATGGAATTGAAGTTAGTTTACCCAGGGGTTTCACAGCTATTGAGTGGTGAAGCTGGGGTTTGACCTTTGTCTCTGGGATAAATGCTTTTCGCTTAAAGTTTTATTTTTTTCACACCTTCTTGAGATGGTAAATTGGAGGAAGGTGGGAATACACCTGAAATTATAGAGAACAAAAGTTGCCAAGTAATCCTTTCCCTAGAGATGAGCATTGCTGTTGTTCAGGCATCATATTTCTGCATCTTGCATTCTTTTTCTCCTTCCTTCATTCCCTCCCCCATGTCCTATTTATGTGACAGAGATCAGACCTGAAAGACTTGTCACTTGGATATCTATACCTGCTAAAGAAGGGGATAAGCTATGCAGAATTATATACATTTTAGTATAATATATATAAATATTTTTTGCATTACAGATATTTGTGAACCTTGTTTTACAGTTTTTAAAAACTAAGATGGCAAGAGTAATATGTATATCTATATATGTGTTAACTGCTTGCTAAGGATAGATCTCTAGGAGTAATATGAAGTATAGAGCATACCTACATATGTATTTCCGTTAAATAGCAACTAAAAATTCATAGTTCATATAGATCAGAGGTGAATTATGCATTGATACACATTTTTATTTGGTTTTAGTTTTCATATTCTTTTATGACTTGCTTTTGTCCATTTTAAAGTGAAGTTCTTATTTTTAATAATATGCATTTTGGGCCATTAATTATGTGTTTCCTCACCATTTCATTTATCTCGATATTTATGATCTTAAAGCTTTCTCACTTTAAAATTTACAGTGTTAGCTGTTTGTTATGGTGATTAATTGTAGGTCTTCTGTCTTTAAAACAGCAGTTGCTATAGTGTATTCTTTGAGTAATTTCAGGTAATTAATAGTCTTAAGCTGTCAATTCTAAGTGCCACCTTTTCAAGTAAGGTTATTGTTGTAAGAGTGTTGTATAAAATTTAAATTTAATATTTTAAATGCGAATTCTTCAAATTTTTCTTAGCGGTCTGTTCTAATTTTCACATTAAAGGTATGTTCCACCAGAGCAAGCCAAAGTGGTGGCATCGGTTCACGCATCTATTTCAGGGTCTTCTGCCAGCAGCACAAGCAGCACGCCCGAGGTTAAGCCCCTGAAATCTCTGCTGGGAGATTCTGCACCAGCACTGCACTTAAATAAGGGCACACCTAGTCAGGTGAGGGTTGATAACTCTTAAAGATATACAGAAGTCTGAGTGCTAAGAACCTTTAATAGTGGGTCTGTGTGATGTCAAATACGTGCAGATTGTGACATGTGATAGGAATGCGTGGTTTTGCCATCACTTTGTAAAGATGCTTAGTTTGTCTGTCTTGAGTGTCCAAGTCTGGTCTGGTGACCAGCAGAGTCAGAAGAATAGTTAGTCTCTGTGGTGCTTTAACAGAAAATAGTAGGATTTCTATATACCTGATTATGTAGCATGCTTATTATCATTGAAATGCACATGGCTTTACAGTGTACCTTACTCCCCAAACTGAACAGACTGAAAACATTTATATGTTGATACCTACATGTTTATTTTGTTGTAGATAACATTAGGACTGTGTTACTGTGCAGCTTGTTACACCATACTGTATGTGAATGGTTTCGAAACAAAGTGCTGCAGATTAAATTCTGTGCTTCTGAATAAATCCATCTGTTTTCATAAGACTTAGAGTGGAAACAGTGAAGAACTGAGTGAAGTAACCCTTCCGGTGTAGAAATGCTTTCTTAGTATAGTGAATTGAAGATAGTTGTATGTAAAACTTCAGCAGATCTAACTGAAAAGTCTTTATAGTGAATGCATAAATGTTTATTTTAGAAACACCATGAGTAACTAAAGTGCTTGTAGTCCCCAGTTGTAGGTCGCTCTCAAGGGCAGCAACAGGAAAAGAAGCAGTTTGACCTTTTGCGTGAAATTGGCTCAGACATCTTTGCTGCTCCACCTCCTCAGTCAACAGCTACAGCCAATTTTGCTAATTTTGCACATTTTAACAGTCATGCAGGTATGTCTTTTACTGATAACTTTGCCCAGGATATGTATAGATCACCCAGAAACATTATTTATTATCATTGGTCACCTATGAACATCATACCATATAGACATATAACCATGGTACTTTTAGGGGAACTTTTTATTTTTATTTTTTTTGCAATTCAATTAATTTTATATTTACATTGGTTTCATATTTTTTTTTAGTAAATTTTATTAAATTATAAAAGTTTCCATTTCCGCCCCCCCTCCCGACGCCCGCCCACGCCCCCCACTCCCCCCCTCCTTCCCCTCCGTCCTAGGGGAACTTTTTAGATAGGGTTGTATGTAGCCCAAGCTGGCCTTGATTTGCTCTATGTTAAAGATGGCTGTAAACTCATCGTCCCACCCCACCTCCTGAGTGCTGAGATTAAGGATGTAAACTCAACTGTGCATCTCCCCCAACTCTGTGTAGATCAGGCTGGCCACAGAAAGAACTTTAGTTTATATAACACAGGATGTGACTTCTTTTCATGAAAAAAGAAAAAAAGGAAGAGATTTTTGTTTTTATTTTTATACTTCTTTATATTATGTGTGTGTGTGTAAGAGTGTGCACACTACATGGTGAATATGTGGAAGTCAGAGGACAACTTGTAAGAATTAGTGTTTTCTCCTTTTTCATCATGTGGATCCTGGGGATTAAACTCAGGTCTGTAGGCTTGGTAGCAGGTGCCTTTACCTACGGAGCCCTACCAGCAGTGTGGCCTGAGAGATGTTAATGTGTTTGTATATACTACCTTTTTATTATGGAAAATTACAAATACCAGATGTAAATGTGTAATGTAACTTAGGTATTAATCTCATGTCACTAGTACTATTTAATAGATTTTAATACAAATTTTAGACATAAATATTTTGTGTCTGTGTGCCCCTCCCTCATGTGTGTTTTGTCTGTTTGTTCATATCTGCACGTACCTTCTAGGTCAGTATCAGTTGTCTTCATTCTCTCTTCACTTATTTTTACCACTCTCACTGAACTTAAACTTACTCAGTTGGCTAGTTTATCTGGCCAGCGAGCTCCATCTACCTATTCAATGGGTAACAGATGCATACTACTGAACCCAGGAGGGGATCTGATTCAGGTTCTCATACTTTCATAGTAGCTACTTTGTTGAATGAGAGTCATTGCCCAGACCCTAGCGTTTTCATTGTTAAATATCACAGTATGTAGTAGAATCATTCTAAATAATGGTAAAAGTTCATTAGTGAGTATTCAAATTTTCATTCCAGTTCAAATTTGTGTTTGTATATATAGTATGTGTGATGTATATGTATAAATATATTCACTTATTCTCACACACAGTGTGTCTGTGGTTTGTTGGAATCAGTTTTTTTTAAAAAGCTATCCTTTGTAATTGAACTCTATTTTGGTTAGGTTTTTATGGTTGTCCCATCATCCCTTTTCTTTGTGATTTGTTAGAGAAAGTAGGTTATTTGTCTTGTGGATTCTGTGGTAGTCTGAACTTGTTAACTGCCCTCCTGTGGTACCTTTAAAAATTCTTTCCTGTATTGCTTATAATTATAAGTTAGTAGTTGGATCTGGAGGCTCTGTCAGTTGAGGATGTGTCTTTCTTAGCAGGGATGGGGACTGCTGGGCAAATTAGAGGCTTTTGTGTGTATGTTGGGGGGTGTGGCTAGGGTATTACTTAGGACTTACAAGACACACAAGTTTAAAACTTAATATTTATTTGATATGTATTTGTGTCTTGTTTGCATATATGAAAGTGGGCCTCGTGTGTGTCTGATATATACAGAGGTCAGAAGCGGGTGGTAGGCTCCCTGAAACTGGGATTCTAGATTGTTAAGTCATCATGTGCATAATACAATTGAACCTGGGTCCTCTGCAAGAGTATCAAATGCTTCTACCCACTGAGCTGAGTCTCTAGCCCCACTTGACTTTTTAAAGGAAGATAGAGCTGTTGAGTCTCTTGAGTTTGAGACTAGCCTGATCTACATGGCCGGCCAAGGCTACATATTGAGATCTTGAGAAGGGCTAGAAATCTCCAACTTCAAGTTGTTGAAATATATGACAGGTTCCCTTTTCCTGTGCTAACCTATCTACCAAAATTTTCCAAATAAGGAGAATTTTTCCCTTCCCCTTTAGGTAACCAATGTATCAAAATGCCCCTTTCACCAAACAGAGACCAAAGTCTTGCTTCCTGCCTCATAACCTGTATATCTATCCATACATGCATGTGATTTACTTTCAGTCTGTGTGTATGGGTATTTCGCCTGTATGTATGTTGTGCACCACATATGTAGTACCCGAGAGGGTGTTGAACCCCTAGAACAGGAGTCAACAGACAGTTGTGAGCCACTGTGTGGGTGCTGGAAACTCAGCCTGGGTCTTTGCAAGAGCAGTGAATGTTAACTACTGAGCCATCCTTCTGGCCCCTGTGAGTTTATTATGACTTTATCTCCATTTTCAAAATACTTTTAAATTATCTTATTTACATATATAAGGATTAGTGAACTCTAGAATTTTGATTTTTGGTTTGTGTTTTAATTGCAGCTATCTTTTATTTCCTAGATTTTTATGAATTTTAAATAGCTTCTAAAATGTAAATAACTAGCTTTTTGGTGATTGTGTCCATATATATTTTTCCCACTTTTATGTGCTCATGGTGAACATACTTATGAAAGTTAGATAAGCCAGAAAAAAGGGCCTAATTGTACACACCTATAATCCCAGCACTTGGGTAACTGACTCAGGAGATCAAGAGGCCAGCCCAAGCTACATAGTGAAGAGCCTATTTCTCAAAACTAAAAGCAAAACAAAAAGTATTTTATTTATGTGATTAAACTATGTCTGTATCATTACCTTAGGCATTTAGATAACTTTTCAGATGTGCCAAGCTCGTTATCATTTTACAGTGAGTTACGGGGCTGGAAAGGGGGCTGAGTGAATTGTTCGCTGTGTAAGCATAATGATCTCATTTTAGATTCTTAGCACACATACAGAAGCTGGGCACAGAGCCCAGCATTCGGGGCAGACTGGTGGTTCCTGTGACTCAGTGTCCAGCAGTGGAGCTAGGGAGCCTCTGCTAGTGAGAAACCCTGCTTAGGAGAATAAAGGTGGAGAGCCACTGGGGAAGACACCTGAAATCAGCCTCTGTCCTCTGTTCATGTACACATAGATACATACAATAAAAAATCAGAATGGATTTCCTAGAATGTATCTAGTTTTAGATACTAAAACAAATGTACTTAATGTTCTGAATTAGCTTTTTTTTTTTTATTACTAGAGTCTTTAAAATAGTACTGTGACCAGACCTATGGCTTTACAAAGTGCTTTTGGAAATTTTGGCTACTGTTTAGCATATGCTACTAATTGGGTTAAAAATATTAATTTTTAAATGAATTCTCTTTAAAGTGAGTTGTATTGCATTGACATTTTCATAAAATTCTTAAATTCATTTGTCATGTCTTTTCAGTTGTCGTTTTCATATTCATTAACATATGTTGTCCTTGCCATTTACAGCTCAGAATTCTGCAAATGCAGATTTTGCAAACTTTGATGCATTTGGACAGTCTAGTGGTTCGAGTAATTTTGGAGGTTTCCCCACAGCAAGTCACTCTCCTTTTCAGCCCCAAACTACAGGTAGAGCCTCTCCAGCATTGTGCTTAAGTGTTTGCTTTAAAAAACAGAACTTTCCAAATACCACTTTAAAAAACTAAATTCTCTGATGACCTAATTTTAAAGTAGTTCTATTTTACAAAGCTCTGGGGAAACCTGAAATCTTTGTTTCTCTGAACTCTTTGGTCATTGTCTGTTGTTCAGCACCCACCCTCCTCTTCCTGCACATGGTTCTTTCCATCCACTGAGGTTGTAAAGCAATAGAACTTTTTAAATATGTGAAACACGGTGATAAAGGCTGATACCGTATCTTGTGATAAGGAAGCTAGTTGATAGCTTCCATAGAAATAAAAATAAGTTATTTTATAGGGCAGCAAACTTAAGAAAAACATTTTAATGTTATTTATTCAAGTATAAATTATTAATGATCACTTTAATTAAATATGGAAATAGTTTTGTGCAGGAATTGGTTTTCAAGCAAATTCTTCCATAAAGTGTACTGTTTTCAGAAATTCATTGAACCCCTTATTTAGCTTTTTGACTGACTATTTTTCTTTCAAGTTTTAACTCTGTGTATGAGTTGTTTTAAAGTCTTTTCTTTCAATTTTCTTTTCTTCCCTTTCCCCTTTAACTTTGATCATTTACATAATTTCTGGCTGTCCAGCATTTAGAGTACCTTCATCTAGCTGCAGTTCTGGTGACTTTACTTCAGCTTTTCCTCTCCAGGCTGCCCACAGTAAGTTCTGTCGTCCAGTAGGCATCTTACTAATTTATATCTTTTTTGTGTTGTGTCATGTTTTTTCAGTTATGAAATTATCACCATTTTTAATGATAAGCCTTTGTAAATTTGTTTTACCCTCTCTTTTACTAAACTTAGAGTTAAAGGTACAGTTTTTTTATGAAAGTTGATCTAATAATTTGAAATAAAATTTTTCATAAAAATTAAAAGTTTAATATTTTGTTTGCTAGCTACTCATAATAGATCATTGTCTTGTAACATCTATGCTAGTTTTAGCTGATTTTTCTTTAAAATTTAATTTTAAAATGGAGACTTGCTGTGCTGATCAGGTTGACGTTGAACTGGCAATCCTCCTGCCTCAGACTCCTGAGTAAGTCAGATTATAGGCATGCGTCATCCTGCCCCGTTTTCTTTGAAACAGCCAGAGTCTAATTCTTGAAGAAGATCAGTTTGTTTTGTTTAAGAATGTGAAAGAACTCATGATGGTAGGTCTTTTGCATTTGGGTAACGACCTGTTGTGTTTAAAAAGAATATCTGTGAATTGTGCCTTCCCTTAGTATGTCTGATGATATTTTGACAGTTTAGGAAATAAGAACTAATATCTCTGTAATATTCAAAGCAAAGGATGAAAGGCACTGCTGTAGTCTTTGATGAGTGTTTAGAAAAGTCTCCAGGACTGAGAACATACTTTAAGATTGAGCAAACATTTTACTATTGACTGTTAGGTGAATTGTGCTTTATGATGCAAAAACTTACTGTTATAAACTTTAATTTTTATACTTTGAACTACATAGTAGGATTTAGTTTTACTGTGAGCATCAGGCTACTGAATACACATTGGTTGCTGTGTAGAGTTATGTAATGGCTCTTCACGTGAAAAAGTCACAGATTTTAGAAACTTTATCAGCAGCATATTGTTTGTGAACATCACTCGGAGTCTGTTGAAGACCTCTCATGTGATGCTACACTGTCACTCCACTGCTCCGCCTCCATAGGTAGAGTCTGCTGTGTATTCCAGAGCAGACGCTGTCAGAGCCTTATAAAGTCAAGTTTTATAATTTTTAAAAGTCACATGATTTTCAGTGTTTTTTATAGGACACCTACCTTAAACAGAAATGATCACAAGTAATCTACGAGTGGGACTGAGAGAAGCCTAGAAATTTCATGTTTTGTTTATTCTGTTACAGGTGGAAGTGCTGGATCAGTAAATGCTAATTTTGCTCATTTTGATAACTTCCCCAAATCCTCCAGTGCTGATTTTGGAACCTTCAGTACATCCCAGAGTCATCAGACAGCATCAACTGTTAGTAAAGTTTCAACAAACAAAGCTGGTTTACAGACAGCAGACAAATACGCGGCACTTGCTAATTTAGACAATATCTTCAGTGCTGGGCAAGGTATCCGTGTGTAAACAAAGCAGATGCTAATTTCTCTAAATTACTTATGTTAAAACCTGAGGAGACAATGCTTTTCTCACTTGTATAGAAGTTATGTGCACAGTGAATGTTTTGAGTAGGGTTGTTGGCACTTTTGCATGTAAAATACCAGAAGACTGAAAAAATATAGAAGTTAACTTAAACAAGTATTTTCAAAAGAATAATTGAAAATAATGTATTTTTATTTTCAAAAACACGCTTTACTATTCTATGACTACAAAGGACCAAAATTTTTCATCTTTAGAGCTATAGTGCTATTTTATAATTTCAATCATATATGCATTTTGAACTATTTTTATTAACATTTTGGCATTTTGATGTCCCAACTCGTTTTTGTTTTTTTTTTTTTCCTTTGAGCAGGGTTTCTCTGTGTAGCCCTGGCTGTCCTGGAACTCACTCTGTAGACCAGGCTGGCCTTGAACTTACAGAACTTCCCATTTTTAAATATATTTTTGTACTTAGTTTTGGCCTTAAGGCCAGTATTTCCCCTCTGAAAATGTAAAGCTCAGTGAGAACCGTGGGGATCTGACCTACACTGGGCTCTGCATCTGATCTCTAAACTGAGAGAGATCCTAGAGTTCAATTCTGGGAGTTAGATTCTATGAATTGTTGTACACAAGGCATTTAGAGTACTGCCTAGCACAGGAAGCACTTAGTAAATATCTTTTTTTTTCATGAAAAATCCTGGAAGAATGGTACTATTAATAGATTATATACATTAGATCCATCATATAAATTTATGTGTTAATTTAAACAAAACCATCTGTCTCAGAGTTCTTTAAATCCTGTTTAATGTTTAGATCACATCCATATTGGGGTTACCTGTGTTTCATGGCAAATATGGTTGATGAACTGACAATATAATATTAAAGTTTTGGTGTAACTCTTTTGTTTGTTTGCCTCCAGGAGGTGATCAAGGGAGTGGTTTTGGGACCACGGGTAAAGCTCCTGTTGGTTCTGTGGTTTCAGTTCCCAGTCACTCAAGTGCATCTTCAGACAAGTACGCAGCACTAGCAGAGTTAGACAGCGTGTTCAGTTCTGCAGCCACCTCCAGTAACGCGTACACGTCCACGAGTAATGCTAGCAGGTACAGCTTGCCTTAGTCAGCACCCCTGGCTTTGACCTTGGTTTCCGTGTCTGAATAACATAGTTAATAGTGACTTTTGTAGGGTTGTAGCTTAAAAATAATTGAGTAGTTTTTAGACTTAAATAGTTCTTAAGTTGAAATTGAATGTAACTTGCTGTTTAAAATGTAATTTTTGAGCTTTTGCCATATTCTTATATCAAGTCTTAGAAAATTTTAACTTCTTTTCATTCCTGGATACTAAATGAACTTGGGAGAACACAAATTTCTAAGTGGACGATTACATATGGGTTGTACTCAGCAGATAGTCAGTTAGCAGTCATGCATGTGTCAGGGCATAGTTTTTAGTCATAAAGACTAAGCAGGAAAAGGGTCATGTTTGCAGTCTTAGTTTGTAGTCTGTTTGCATCAGACCCCACTGCTGCTCTCAGTTCTCCAGCTCCTTATTGTCATTTAGGATTATAGTCTGCACCCGTACTGCTGTGCTCACACAGGCCTTGTGGAAAGGAGTTCCAAAGAACAGGAAGACTACATGCTTAAAATTTCTCCCTTGTGTTAAATAAGGTCTTGTGAAGTCCAGGTTGGTTATGAGTTCATGGTCCTTTGTCTCCAGAGTGCTTACAGGCATGTGCTTCCAAACCCGGAGGAACATTTGATTTTTAACAACTGTTAAAATTTATTGAGAGTGTACAGCATTCTAGTTATTTCTTTTGTTCCATATTTGTAGATATATCTGCTTTATTACTATTACTATTTAGTTTATTTCCCTTTGACATCTTTCCTAGAGGGAAATTCTAACTATTTGAGATGGGACAAATTGAATCCAAATAATAAAATTTGTCATTATTTTAGTTTGTTTCACTAATGTTGTCTGTTATATTTTTGATAATAGTAATAAGGTAACCATAAGGCCTGGAAACAGATAAAATCCATGTGATAAAAGGATTGTTGACACTGTATTGTGATGGATTTGTGGTTTATGAATGTGGTGTGTTAAGTGTTGGAGTTACTTACGTTAGACTCTTTAAGGTATCTCTGAGTTCAGACCTCTTTTTCATAATTCTGAGATGCTAAGTTGATTTTTCAGTGATTAACATTTATATTGATGGTACACAAAATAAAATTTGGCAGGAAAAAGCCTTGCTGCAGAAATTAAGTTCGTGTCATCAGATCACACCAGAGTAGACATGTGTTTCTACACGTAGCATGGTTTTATTTCCACATTTATAAAGAATGTGTTTCTTTCTGTTCCTGGGCCGGTGTTGTACTCGTGCTTCTTCCTCATCCTCTGTGTAACACGTGACACCAGTTCTCCTCGCCTTAGGAATAGTGTTGATTAGTTTTTCTAACTACTGTACTTGATAAAATTGTAGCGTTTTCAGCTTACTAGTTTTCTATTAAATCAATTTTCTGTAAGTTATCAAGTAGTTTGGATACATAGTAAACATATGGTCATCTTGAAAGAAATTTACTATTTTTAAGTTTTGGGATAAACCAGCTACTCAGTTTATGGTGGCTTGGATTTGAATATTTGTCAGATATTTTTATACACATTGTAATCACTGTAAAGACTGCCCCTTCTTGCTGGGGATAGTGCTCAAGGATAGTGCTTCTCAGCATGCAGGTGGCTCTGGATTTGATTCCTAGCACCATGAATGGGCACAAAGGTGCATACCTTTATTGCCAGTACCTGGAAGTAGAGACAGAAAGATCAGAAGTTCAAGGTCATCCTGCATAACAGATTTCTGGGTGGCCTGTGTTATATGAAACCTTGTCTCATAAAGGAAACAAAATTTGTTGAAATTAAATATTAGAATTTTGGGGAATTTGTGTATTCTACCATAAACGTGAAAGTGAAGTTTCAGTGAACATTGACTTTGTGGGGTGGATAGGTTCCAAGTTCCCCATTTCAGGCTAGCCTTTAGGAAACTGCCAGTTTTGATGTCATTGCAAAGAATATTAAATGCTATTACTTGTTAAGTATGTGTATAAAATACATGTTCATTCTATACTTCAAACAGATGGAAATATATGCTTGGATTAGTAGAAGTATACAAAAAACGTTCTTTTTGCTTTGAAATTGCAGTTATAAAAATACTTAGGCTGTCATATAATTGAATCCAATCTTAGATGCGTATTTTTTTTAAATTATCCCTTTCTCTATACTACTGATTGGCAGAGACGGCGTATGTAAACATTTTTGTTACTGAAATTTCAGTAGTTTTCGTAATGTAAACTCATCTTGAGTTACAAATGAAAAGAACAGGGATATTTAGAACAGTTAATTTTACCTGTTTCCACATCTTGAGTCCACCTTGTAGGTAGATGACTTTACGTCCTTACTGAATGCTGACTCTTGATCTTCTTTTCAGCAGTGTTTTTGGAACCGTGCCTGTGGGTGCTTCTGCTCAGACACAACCTGCTTCAAGTGGGCCTGCTCCATTTGGGGGTATGTGCTTTTCATAGAGAATGTTTTTAGGGGTACTGGGAAGATAGTAAGAGAGCAGCATTTTATTATCAAAATGTTCACATTTCTGTCTTGAAAAATATAGTGAAGAAAGTTTTAAAATCTTGAGTATGAAGTATCAGGATTTTATAGCATATTTTATACTTTTTTAAAAGCTACTCCGTCTACGAATCCATTTGTTGCTGCTACTGGTCCTTCTGCGGCATCGTCTACAAACCCATTTCAGACCAATGCCAGAGGAGCAACAGGTGAGAAAAAAAGACAGATCAAGGAACCATAGCCATGGGGGAAGGAGTTTATTATTTATTTGTTTATTATAAAGCATACCTAAACAAAAGGCCTCTTTCTACTGAGGCACAGTGCAAGAAAGGGTAGGTGCATGTCTTTAGAAACACAAGATGGCAGGCAGCTGGGTCTGGTGGCATGTATCTTTTATCCCAGTACTTAGAAGACTGAGGCAGGAGAATAGTGAGTGTGAGGCCAGCCTGAGCCACATGCAAACACATTGTTTAATGGGCGATCGTGGCACACACCTTTAATCCCAGCACTTTCTTGGGAGGCCAAGAAAGGTGGATCTCTGTGAGTCCAAGGCCAGCATAGTCTACAGAGCTAGTTCCAGGTCAGCTAGAGTTACACAAAGAAACCCTGTCTCAGAAAATGAAAGAATAAAAAAAAAAAAAGACCTGCTCTAAAGAAACAAAGACAAATGCTACTGAAAGTTTATAAAATTTAGGAATTTAACAGTCCCAGGGGGCCTGAGAAGTTAGGTTTCAACCCTTCTGGTCTAAATTTTGGTTTTTCATATAAGAAAGGTCAAATGGGGGCAGAAGAACTTGATTGATAATAGTAGTCCAGCTTGTATGGTGCCAGAATGTCTATCAGTCATTCAGTATAAATAAAACATTTTATTAAAACCCTAGATTATATCAGATGAGTAAATTTTGTTATATTAATTCTAATTTAATATCTTGCCTCTTTTCAGGGTTCCTATTTTATGTTTCTTTGCTTTTTGTGTTTTATAAGATCATGCTAACATCTCGCTGTATCCTAGACGTGAACTCTTCCAGCTAAACCATACCTCTCTTCATTTTAGAGTTCAGTGCTTGAACATTTTATTCTTCCCGACTTTGTTTATCCTCTCACCTTTTTTTCTACACTTGTTTCACACCCAAGCCAGTCACATCATTCTTGCATTTCTTCCAGTGCTGTCTTACTGCCATGGCCTGGCAAAGCACGTGAGGAGGTGTAATGGTGTGACTAGCTGTCATTTACTCTATCCATAGCTTTGTTTCTGTGTGTTTCAGAGCGGGATTGGAACCAGAGCTTTAACACCGATTAATTACAGCAAATGTTGAAGTTTTAAGAGTATATCAGTATAACTTACCTAACCATTAAGAATAAATAATTATGATATTTTTATTGTTCTCAAGACTAAGAATTATTAAAGTTGAACTAGCATGGTGGTGTTTGTCTGTAGCCCAGCAGTGATGGGCAGAGGGAGATCAGGAGTTAGAGGCCAGTCTGGACCACCACAGGGAGAACCTATCTATACAAAGAAGCAAAAATTAGAAATTTTGATACCAGAAGTTTTCTTTTACACAAACTCCTTAGTCATAATTTAAGTACTTGAAATTCTTATCAGATTTAATTTAAAAAAAATGGCTTGTTCAGGGACTGTTGCAGTGGCTAGATGTGTAAAGGTATCTCTCCATCATCCCTCATGACCTGGAGCTCACATGGTGGAAGGAGAACCAACTCTCCTAATGTGTGCTGTGTTAAAGTTGCCACAATACATTGTGTAGTTTATAAAGGTGCCAAAGAGGAGACGCTGATTGCATCTTGTGTGAGTGTATACTAACTTAGCTCCAGTTAAATGCTGTGCTTAACTCTGCAGTGTGAGCAGTGCTTCCTGGACGGCCAGGCTGTTTAAAGTCAGATGCTGTAAATCATTGTGTTTGTATGTGTGTGTTCTGTGTGTACTTAAAAGTTAGGAGAACCCCCTACTACCTTTGAATATGAAAGTATTTTAAATGGTAAGATTATATATAAATATATATAAAATCTACAAGGAATAGAAGTAATATTTATTTAATTTTGAAGTTTATCAGAAAGAAAATACTATCTCTACAAATTTTTATTTCAGAATAATTTTTGTTTGTTTGTTTTTGTTTTGTTTCCTTGCCTTTTTTTTTTAAGATAAGTTTTTACTTTGATCCCTGACTATCCTAGAACTTGAACTCAAAGAACTCTGCCTGCCTTTGCCTTCTGAATTCTGGGATTAAAGGCATTTGCCACCATTTCTGACTATTTCAAAGTAATGTTTGCATTATGAGGTGTTTTGAATATATCACATGGCCTATCCTCCTTAGGTCATTACTCAGTTGAGTCAGTATCTGCACTGCTCTGGAGATATACCATCCCTAGGAATTCCCAGGCCTTTGCATCACTTGAACTCCCCGAGGGCTCTTTCTTCCTCTCAACTGTGTTAACCCTGTGAAATACTCTTCTGAGATAGCTTTGAAAGAGCAGTGTGTGACAGTTCTATGCTCTTGAAGATTAAGTACCAACATACACTGCCAACTCTGTTTCAGACTAAAGTATGGTAGTGGTTAATACTGGTTAACTGTCATCATTGACTGAGAATTTTTAAGATAGTTTTTTTAGAGAGAAATTGGAGTAGAGGTGAGGGTAGGGCACTGTGACTATCCTATAGCACTTGTCTGGAGGTCAGAAAACAGCTTTGGGGATCAGTTCTTTCATTGCAGGGCCTAGGGATTAAACTCAAGCTTCAGGCTTATGCAGTGAACACTTTTATCTGCTGAGCCATTTAAAACTTCTTGAGAAGTTTTAAAAACAGTATTCAATGAACACGAGTTCTGTGTCTTAGTAATAAGTGCATAGGAGAAATGCTCTGGATAAAGCAGAGTTTAGCAAGCATTTTTGAGGCAAGATTAGTTGAAGCCTTTAGATTTCTAAGAAGAGAGTTAAATGCATTGTCCAAACTTTATCACAGAACACTTCTTTTTTTTTGACTTTAAAGATGTGTGTGTGTGTGTGTGTGTGTGTATGTACATACACGTGTGTACGTGCATCCATACTCACATGGGTATGTTCAGAAAGCGAGAGAACAGCACTAGAAGAATATCCTTGGAGACAGAGTTTCCCAATGGCCTGGAGTTCACCAGTTAGGCTAACTCTCTAACCTACAAACCATAGGGATTCTTGTGTTTCTGCTTTCCTCGTCTGGGATTATAGGCCTGTAATATCTGATAATATCTACATGGATTTTATTATGGATTCTAGGATTGAATTTGGGACTTCATGCTTGTAGGAGCTTTACCAGTTGTACCATACCTGCAGCCCCATAATAACATCTGTTTCAATTGGCAAGAAAAAATTTTTCTTGCTTTCCATGTATTAATTCACTGCTGTGGTTTACTCTGATAGCAGCGTTGTGAAGGACATGGGTCCTATTGTCTATCCTCCCATCGTCCCCTTTGCAGACGAGTATACCGACATTTATATTAATTCAAACAGAATAGCGGAAGAAAGTTGCAGAACCAAAACTCAAGAGCTGTTCTCTTGTGTCACCCTGTGCCTCAGATTTGGGTACTCTAAAAAGTGTTCCAGTCTAGCATACATAGAAATATATTTTAGAAATAACCCTAATCCACACTATTAAACAACAGAACAGAGCTTTAGTATTGAGTAAGCTGAGTCTCTTGTGTTAGTTTCACATATACATGTAGCTCTGCCCTCCAGCTCACCAGGTGAGTTGTACACAGCTTGTGTTTCATCAATCAGTCAGTCATGATGCTTTAAGAAGACCAAAGGTGCTAGACTCACTTTCTCATTTTGTATGTTTAATGATTTTTCTCCTTATAATTCTTAACTCATTTAAGTTATTTTTAGGTACTTCTAGGTAATATCTTCATTTGTAAAGAAAACATTCTTGTGTTATTGTGTCCAAGACTTGGATTTTCATTTGGTAAAGAAAAGGTTTTTGGATGTGTCTCATGGTGTGTGTGTGTGTGTGTGTATGTGTGTGTGTGTGTATATGTGTGTTGTAATAAGGTTTCGTGTAGCCTAGGCTGGCCCTGAACTTACTTTGTAGCTGAGGGTGTCCTTTGAGCTACTCATTTTCCTGCTTCCACCTCTGAACTGTTGGCAGGATTTCAAGTGTATACCCTCATGCCTGCCTCTTATTGTACCGTATAGTTATATCTTCACAGTTATATCTCACTGTACAGTATAGTTATATCTTCACAGTTACATCTCACTGTACCATATAGTTATATCTTCACAGGTACATCTCACTGTACCGTATAGTTATATCTTCACAGTTACATCTCACTGTACCGTATAGTTATATCTTCACAGTTATATCTCACTGTACCGTATAGTTATATCTTCACAGTTATATCTCACTGTATAGTATAGTTATATCTTCACAGGTACATCTCACTGTACCATATAGTTATATCTTCACAGTTAAACCTCACTGTACCGTATAGTTATATCTTCACAGTTACATCTCACTGTACAGTAAGTATAGTTATATCTTCACAGTTACATCTCACTGTACAGTATAGTTATATCTTCACATAATAAAACAGAGCTAAAATTACTTTTGTTTTGACACAGTCTCACTGTGCAGGCCTGGTAGGTCTGGAATTCATTATATAGCATAAGGCTGGCCTCATATTCAGAGATAATTCCCCCTCCCCATGCTGGAATTAAAAGTATGTACTGCTGTACTCAGCTGTGAAGGATTATTTTTAAGAATATATTTTATCAGTTTTTCTTCACTTGGTATTTATTGTTCTAAACTATTAAAAGTGACATATTACAATATTATGAATATAATTGAATGAGTGAGTTTCTGTTGTTATATTCCTGTGACACCCAGTAGGCAACACTGTTCTAACTCTAGAGCTCTTTAATGAAACTAGTTAACTTTTACTTTAACAGTAACTGCACATAACTTAATTGACCTTGATCTCTTTATGGCTTCCCATAAGGCCTTTCTGGAGCAATGCATTCTCAAGTGTTCCCTCACGCTCATTTTGGTAGGTGGCCACAACTAGATTTTTGTGGCAATTTGTCTAGCTGCTTGTAGAAGCTTCTGCTAGTGTTCTGGATCCTTGCATGTGAAATTAAGTTATTTCCATGTTTTAATATGGAGTGGGCATGGATGTGTGGCATCAAGGTTGTGTTGTATTAAAAGTAACATGAAAATCCTATCTAATGATTTATATTTTAATACTGAAAAGCATTATTGCTTAACCTCCATGGTCACACTAGAATGTTAATAGCTATTTTGATTATTTTTCTTTCGTTAAAATTCTTAGTACTTTAAGTGATACCTTTTGATGTATCAAATCATTTTCCTGCTTTATCTCCTGGACTTGGTTTTGCCTAACTGTCCAAGCTTTGCTTTGAGTGCTTTCAGCAGTGACTTGTCAGTTGTATCAGTGCATTCTGTCTGCAGTGAAACCTCTTGTCTCCCCGCAGTGTGCTCAGACTTTCCTTCGTTCACTTGCTTCCCAATAGCCTGTTCTTCCCCCTTTCTTTTCTTTTCCTCCCTCCCTGCCAAGTAGTAAAGAAATTAAAGAAGAAAAGAAACTGTCTATAGTCTAATTAGGTCTCTTGAACTAATTCACATTGTCAAACAGTAGTGCTGTGAGTAACAAATTTTCAGTGTGTTTGTGTTTTTGTTAAGAACATCTTGTGGAGTGCTTTTAGTATTTAATTTCTTCATCTTGAATCAGTCACCTTTGAAATCAGGAAATTCAATAAATTGATAGGCTTTTACAGTATTTCATTGTATCCTTAAGCAGTAGTGTACAGTTAAAGCAACATTGGTTGTCACGTATTTCACTGAGTCCCTCCCTGTATCGAGCATATCATCGGCTCATGGGAAGGTGCTGTTTTATGTATTTTCTGCCAGTTACTCACATAGTGTCCTGCTGTTGCGCATCTTTAAAGTGAGAGTTTGTTCATAAATGTGCTTGCTTATGTAAATAAGGCATGATGTAGGCATGCCACATAAACATTGATGATTCCCACATAGATTCCAGCTCATGCTCTACTCACCAGCACAGCGAGCCAAGGAGAGCTAGTAACGTGGACACGGGACCACGTGCCCGATAGTCTTCCATCTCTTCTAAAAGTGCTCTTTGCACTTCTTTTCCAATCTTCATACATTTACACCAACTTCTGCAGCTCAGTAATCCCAGATATCCTCCAATCTCTTCCAGAGTCATGAAATGGGAATGTTTATATGTATGTGTACATATATAAGACTGTATATAGGCACATATATAATTAGTAGGAACTCACTATAATAACATTAATGTTTTAAATAGAATTTCTTTTTTTGTCTTTGGCTGTAGTTATAAAACTAGTTTTGAATGCCCTGCCTTTTACCCTAGTTGTCCTATAAATTGTCTATTTTTAATGAACTCTTTTGAAGAGGTCTTAATTTTTTTTTCTACAGAAACATGAAACTTAGTAATTAATGTTTGGTTGTTTTTTTAAAATTAGACATAGGAGAACAGCCTCAAACCCAGGATATACTCCTATATACATCACAGTATGACTGACTTCTGAAGGCAGGCTATTGTTTGGCTTTAAGTAATTGCTTAGGGAAGTTGTTTTGGGTGGGGGATGGATTTCAAATGATAACGTTTGTAGTTTCTTCCTGGTCACTGCATTTCAGAACAGTTGAGGTAGACAGTGTTATTCTGTACTTACTGTGTCGGGATTTGGGGCTTTCAGATGCCCTCAGTGTGTGTCTTAGTGTTTTCTAGGTAAGTCTTGCGTGTTCCATGCTGTTAACTGCTGTGTGTGTCTCTGACCTGCCCTTTTCTTTTGTCAGCGGCTACCTTTGGCACCGCATCCATGAGTATGCCAGCAGGATTTGGCACTCCTGCTCAGTACAGTCTCCCTACCAGCTTTAGTGGCAGTTTCCAGCAGCCCACCTTCCCAGCCCAAGCAGCTTTCCCTCAGCAAACAGCTTTCTCTCAACAGCCCAATGGTAAGCTTGAATGTTTGCTGTCTACAGGATGTCAGTGCCCTTTACATAGTGTGATGTTAAGTGCTCGAGACTGTCCTGTGATGACCGTAGTCTTAGGCTCTGAGTGTTAACTACAGAAGAGAGCCTTTTGGAGTTCAGGCCACACAGATGAAGGTTTTTATTGTGGTTTTGTAAATTTCCTTGACCATATGTTAGGAAACATCAGTGACTGTAAAGCTCTCCTCAGAGTCACCTATGTCTTTGTCTTATAAGTCCATCTTGTGTTCTCATGTATTTCTTGATTTGTAATGGAGATTATATTTTTGTGAAAAATGGTTGCTGCTGTGCCTTTTTGGTGTAGGTATGTGCTGTAGATGAGCACTCTTTAGTAGGTATGTGCTGTA